GACAGCAGCATTAAATCTACAAAATTTAATTTTTGATGCTGCTTGCAAAACCATTTCAAAAAGAAGATTTTCTGAAAAATCAAAGTCTTGGTGGAATGATAAGCTGACTGATATGAGAAGAATGCTTGCACAAACAAGAAGATACTGAAGAAATAATTAAAATAATGCTCATGCATTACACAGTTATTTTCAAGCAAGAAACTCTTATTTTTAAGGAATCAAACTAGCCAAATCATCTAGTTGGAATAATTTTCTTGAGACTGCAGGCTCAGAAAATATATATAAAGTATATAAATATTGCAAAAACAAGAAGACTGAGATGACTGCAGCTATAAGATCTCAATTTTCTTTATATGCTTTTTCATTTTCTGAGAAATGTAATGTCTTCTTACAATCAGCTTTTAAAATCATTTCAAGCTCAGATTCAAGCTCTTCATCACAGCTTACTGATTCTTTTTAAAAGGACTGAAACTGGCCAGCACTTTTCAAAACTGAATTAGAAAATGCTATTTATTCTAGTTCTTTCAAAAAAGTCTCAGACCCTGACAACATGTCTTTTGTAATTATTAAAAGAACATATGCTATTATTTCAGATCAATTTTATCAGTTATACTCAAGACTGATTGAAACTGATTATTATCCATCAATTTGGAAAGAATCAGTTGGAGTGGTGTTGAGAAAATTTAATAAAGATGATTATTCTTTACCAGATTCTTATAGAATAATCTCTTTATTAAATTATCTGAGCAAAATCTCTGAGAAAATCATGGCAAGACATCTATCTCAACTTGCTGAAATCACTGATTTGCTCTATTTTAATCAAATGAGTAACAGACAGCAAAGATCAGCAATTAATACAGCAATAACATTACTCTCTGACATTAAACTGAACAAACATGATAAAAAGATCACTTCATGTTTATTTATGGATGTGAAAGAAGCTTTTAATCATGTTAACAAAGCTCAACTGTTAGAGATATATCAGAAAAATCATCTTTCATCTAGTCTATGTCACTGGATTTATTCTTTTCTTCATCAGAGAAAAGTGAAATTAATATTTGATGAAGAAATCATGAATGAATCAGTGGAGTTGAGACTGGTGTATCACAGGAATCACCAGTTTCATCTATACTATTTCTTATATATATCAGTGAGTTATTTAAACAAAATGCTAGCTCAGGCTTGCCTGTCAGAATGATTAGCTATATTGATAATATTGCTTTAATAGTATCATCAAAAATCATTTCTGAAAATTGCTCTTTGCTAGCAAAAATGGCTCAAAAATTGATAGATTGAGAAAATAAGTATTTTGTTCAGTTTGATATGAAAAAAACTGAGCTTATTCATTTTGATTAAAGTAAAAGATCAATAAATAAAACAGTTAAATTGAACAATCTAACTGTTTCTTTCAAAAAAATAGTGAAATGACTAGAAATATAATTTGATAGAAAGCATTCTTTCAAGTATCATGTTTAAAAAAGAACTGCTGATGCTACTAGAATGTTTTATTCAATCAGCAGATTGACAAATACTAAAAGAGATCTTTCATTTCAAGCTATGAGAAGATTATATATTATCTGCATTATATTAATTACTGATTATAAAGTTCCTGTGTGGTGGAAACAGCAACAATCTCTATTGAACTATTTTAACAAGCTTCAAAATCAAGCATTAAAAAGATTTTAAAAACTTTTAAATTTAATTCAGTTGCAGTTATGAAGATTGAGACATGTTTATCACTCTCATTAGTCAGATTAGACAAACTGTACTCTAATTATGCATTGAGAATCTTGTCTTTATATAATACATATTTAATAAAGATCAGAACTTCATGTGATTTAAGTGTTAGTGATATTAATCTGAATGATTTGCATTCAAAAGTTCAATTATGCAACTGGAATCAAGAGAAATAATATTCAAAATCAGAAACTGAGTCTTAATATCACTCAATATGGAATGTGTAAAGAAAAATAAAGAGAAGAAAGAAAAAGTTTTCTTTTTAATTATTCAGATTATTTTCTTATTTTAAAAAGCACATTACATCAGATTTTCAATGCATGATTGATACTTATAATGTAAAGTGAAATGCTTCATAGCAAGAATCAAAGATAAAATTTAATATCTTGTTAAATAATTTAAATGATAAAATTACTCAAGCAGCTGAGCATAAGAGTTTGCTGACTATCTTATAAGAAAATCATTCAGAAAATATTATTATATACTCAGATGATTCAAAATAGTCAGATAAAAGAAATGAAGCTGACTGTTTTATTTCTTATGCTTGAAATCTTGAGAAATAATATCAGTGGAAGATGAATGAGAATGTGAAGATATATAATATTGAAATTTTTACTATATATTAATCTTTACAAGAAGTCTTATCTCATATCTCCACTTCTTAAACATCTTTTATTAAGAATATATGAATATTTACTGACAGTCAAACTGCTATTCAGAAACTTCAGAGAAATACAGCTTATATAAATCAGAAATATTCATATAAAATATATCAGTCAGCTGAAATGCTGATTTCAAATAATATTCAGCTTCATATAGTATGAGTACCTGCTCATATGAATATTTATAATAATAAAATAACTGATATAGCAGTAAAAAGAGCAGCTGATCTTGATATATCTGAAAATTCTACTTATTTTTATAATATTGATTTTTCTCAAGCTTATCTAAAGAGAAAAATCAAGCAGTGTTTATTGCAAGAATGACAGAATTTGTAACATATATTAAGAAAAGATTAATTTTATCAGAATCTTAATATCACATCTGCATGAAAGTCATACAATTTAATAATTAAAATCAGCAGAGTTGTGTGGTCTTCTTATATGCAGTTAAAACTAGATTATAATTATTTCAGATCTAAATTTAAAAAGACTGACTAACTATAATTCTGATAAATGTGACTGTGATGATATGTCTATTTAATTATTAGTACATTTACTCTTGACATGCAGCAATCTGGCTTCTTATCATTAAGGAAATAAAGCTGAAATTACAGAAGTTTACTTTAAATTTACTGGATTATTATGCATGGAAAAGATGTTA